TTAGCCCATAGCTTTATGGCTTAGAAGAGTAGCTGGCATTGGCTCTTTGCTTTAGGGACAGTCGATCAAGGGGATGACGGAAGATGGCAGAGAATGTAGAAGATAGCCACAGACAAGGGCTTTCGGCAAAGAAGGTGTAGGCGGAATAAGCTGTGATTGGATTGGACAAAGCAAATAAATGCCTTTTTGACACCATTGCATTGGTCCATGCCTCTCTCATTCTAAAAGTAGCTGTCTCCATCCCTTCTATGAGCAGGGCTTTGAACCTCGGATGCAACTAATAAACGACGGAGTTCTTCTATAAAGGAAAGGGGCTGGGAGTTACTACTATAACAACTAAGGGACCAAAAAGCCTTTCTCGTCTGTCATGGAGAACCTTCCCGGGCTCTAGCTCTACCATAGACTTAGATAGACTTAGAATAAGCGGGACTAGAGGACAAAGCATCGAGAAGAAAAGCCTTCAGAGCCAAGACCTACTCCTAAATCAGCAGAACTACGGATGAAGCAAAAACTCTCATCCTACAGACATCAAAGAAATAGCTGTCTAAAGCCAATGATTAGCGAGCAAGCAAGCCAAGCCGCAAGGAAAGGGTCACCGAAGTAGGGGACCGCAGCTAGCGAAGTGAACCGTTAGAAACCGGGGTATAAATAACAACAAGTCCGGCATGAAAGCCAAGTGAAGTGACCAGAGGGTTAAGATGCGGATCCCATAGGCGCCTACTAAAAAAAGGGGGAGTTGAATAACTCGTGCTCATGGAAGGTAAGATGCCGGGACGGCGAAAACGAGAAGAAGGATCAAAACATCGAAATAATACCCGATATAAGATTAATCTACGCTGGAAAAAGCACTTTAAGAGCAATTGTCGTCCCCCATCGAAGCTTCCCGCGAGAAGGTTTTTTTTGTTTAAGACAGCTTTTCGTGCCCTTACTTTTTAGTCTATCAGCAACAAAACAACAAGGGCTGCGGGAACGAGTGCTGTCCTTGCCCCGACCGATACCACCATTCATTACCGTGAACCAGCACCTCTTATAGGCAGGTCTTTCTTTAGAACAGATTCATTCCAGAACAGAAAAACCTAATTTAGAATAAGAATAGCGCTTGGAGCCTATCGCTAGAACGAACAACACACCTGCGACCAGACTTGCTACGCTAGTAGGGCTTGTGGGCAAAGCAAGAGATCTTATTTTATCCTTAAGGATAGGGAAGTCTACCTCACCCTCGGGGGGAGATATAGGAATAAAGTACCCTGCCGCTGGATTCCTTGATGGATCTTGTCTTATGAATAGATAGGAAGAGAATCTGATCAATCTAGGCAATCTTGTCCGAAAGAATCACAAAGTCCCGTAACCAGCCTAAGCGTGTGAGTCATAGACTTTGTACACCTTCGCTCGTCACTTCACTTACTGAACTTACCGAAACTCGCTACCCTAAGATCACAGAAAGACGTATTCACCTTAATAGGCCAACCTTCTATCTATAGGCTCAAGGGACGGTATGAGTTCTCTGCGATTAGACTCTGAACTCTTATGGCCTGTTCAAGCTCTCAAATTGTATATATCCTTATACACTGCCTTATGAAAGTCCCTCCTCACTGCCAGGATAATTGACTTACCTCCAGACTGACTTTGAGTACTTTTTCCCTTTACCCTTAATAAGATAAGGGGGTACTCATGTACTTTTACACAAAAGCTAAACAAAACTGCTCAGTTAGAGCAACTTTCATTGGATTGGTTGGATCGACATCATCGAAAGCAAGCCCTACTATACTATATTATATGGTTGACAATTCTCAAGAGAAGAGGATGTGCTCAGCTTATGATTGCAACTTCCACTCCTTCTCAATACCCATCCAAAACAGAAGCAGGGGCAGAAGCACTCGACTTAATAGGAGAGGAAATGGAGGTGAACTCCCAATAGCTTAAGCAAACTCACTTCCCCAGAAAAAATAAAGACATCTACTTAGCCTTCTTTATAGCCTCGAATGGACCGCCTTGGAACTTAACTCTAAATAAAATATGAGATTATCCCATATCATAACGGGAAAGTTTTATTCCGCCATAAGCATATTAAATAAGCCAAAGCTTATTCTATTGCTGGCTCGCTAGAGAGGGGATCTTTTAAACCGTTTAGCTCCTTGCTAAATCCTTTGTTTGGAAGGGTAATCGATCTCAAGGGAAGCGAGGGGATAGTTTTGATCAGTAACCCCGGTTGTATCCACATTACGGGGTTTACGACTAAAAGGCGGAAGCACTCAAAATGGCTAGCTGGGGGAAGAGAAGTAATGGCAGGTAGAAGTAAAGTACCTCCAACTGCAACAAGCTCGAAAGCAGAAGAACAGGATTAAACTGGTTTTATCCTACTAGATATTAGCCCCTTACAAGAGCACTGCTATTCAGTCTATGGGGACTTAGACTGGGTCTAGAGTGATAAAGTAAAGGCTTGAAAAAAAGCTTTCAATACTCCATCGATACTTCTTTTTCCTTCCCGCCTGGTATGTCCTGGATGCCCTACCGAAGAATGGAAAGACTCCTTTTTTATTTTATTTAAACTTGCTTGCTCAATTGATAGCTTGCCTAAGATGGCTACGTGCCGAGAGCACTTCTTAAACAAAAAGAGATAGGAACTATTTATTGGGACTCTTCCTTTATCCGGGGACAGCTACGAAGAAGGTTTATCCCACCAAGACTGCTTGGAAAGAGACAGATGTAAAGTCTTTCAAACTCCCCTGCCCCATCCTTTGACCCTGCTTGATTCCTCGGTAAGAATTAATTAATTCCTTTCCTTGAAAGTCTTGATGTTCCAATCCTTATTTTGTTAGCTTGTGTCTGCGAGGGCAAAGGCTAAATAAAGGAAGGCGGGACATATCCTACCTCCAAAAGGGGCAATTCCTCCCATAGGTTCCCAGGGATAAGCAACTGCTACAGAAACTATATAAATGATAGTGGAAACTCGCACTTACGTTTCAACCCATCCTAGAATGCTAATATGCGCCACGACGGGGACCTACATCGAATGTTAACCGTAAATAGCTATAGCATAGCCAAAGAGAGCTTACCTCACAACAAAGCTTCCTTTCCTTAGGAAGTATCCAAAGGTAGCCTTCAACTGCTACAGAAACTATATAAAATTAAAAAGGAAGAAACTTGCTTGAAAGAAAGACTCCTGCTTTCGTTGGGACTGCTTGATTGGGGACAGGGACAACTACGAGCTCTCCTGCTGGCTAAGTGGTACTTGAGACTAGTTTTCTGAATGGCTTGAAGAGAATTCGCCTGTAATTGGCTCGCAAAGAGAAAGACTATAGAAAGAAATGGCTCACATGAAAGCACAAAAAAAAGCAACTTCAATTGGATAAGCTGGCCCAACAGCAAAGCACTACTACTTAACTATGCTAGTAATATGAATGGATAGGGAAGACTCCATATTCACAGGGCTATCCACAACTCCAACTTTGACTCGATTTCAAGCCGAAGGGAATGGACTGACAGTAGGACTCCCAATGGATAGAAGAGCTATAAACTGATGCAAAATTACCTTCTATCCTCTTCTAGGGATTCCTACCCCTATATGGAGAGGGTAAATTAATATTCTAGTATTCTGCATTAATATTAATATGCTTCTGCGCCGGGAATCTCTCATAGCGGGAAGGCCCAGAGATCATAAAGAGATGGGAATGGAGGCATTCCAGCCCAACATACTCCGGTTCGGAATCCGATTCCGATGAATGGGTCGAGAGAGATAGAGAGGGGAGGGAGCTTATGGCGCCGAGAACCTATCGTGACTATGTCACTCAGATGAGTCAACATGGAACACGGCATAGCGTTCCCTATCGGCGGGTCATCCAGGCGATCCGGACCTCTCAAATTCTTTTAGAGAGAAGGGATGGTCGATGGTTATTTTAATTCTTGTCCTGTCTTGTCCTGGGTGAATTTATTTTATACTTGCTTGTACTGGCTCTACTCTTTCTTTGAAGTGGAAAAACAACATACCTTATTTGAATTTTCTTTATCTTCCATTGCTAATGTAAGGAAATGAGACGACTCTTTCGTGAACTATATAATAATTATATCTTCCCCTCCACACCAATCACGAGTTTTTCTCCATTCCTCTCGTATATCGTCGTAACGCCCTTAATACTAGGTTTTGAAAAAGACTTTTCATGTCATTCCCATTTAGGTCCGATTCGGATCCCTCCGTTGTTTTCTTTTCCTCCCGCACCTTTGACTCGAAATGATAAAGAAGATGGTACACTCGAATTGTATTATTTAAGTGCTTATTGCTTGCCTAAGATCCTACTTCTACAAATGGTAGGTCACCGGGTTATTCAAATAAGTTGTGTTTTCTGTGGTTTTCCCATGTTACAACTTCCGTACCAATTCGGTCGATCCGGAATGGATCGGTTAAACATTCCATTAGGGAGCCTGGTCTTTACTCTTCTGTGTGGTATTCATTCTCGTTTGGCTCTTGGAATCACATCCAGCAGTGGTTGGAACAGCTCGCAAAATCCAACCACTTCACCTACTTCATTGCCCCCAACCGTTTCTCGTACCTCTATTGAAACAGAATGGTTTCATGTTCTTTCATCGATTGGTTATTCCTCTCTGTTCTTATCTCTTTTTCCAATTGCGGTCTCAATGAGTTTACAAGATTGAATGGCCAATTCTCCTCCGGACCCTCGATTCGACTGTTTTCCAAGAATGTTGAGCCGGGTATGTAAGCCATGTATCTGGGAGGAACTTAAAAGAAGGGCTTTCATCATATAGAATATAGAATAAGGGATTACAGCCCTTCTTTGATGGTGAATAACTGCTCTATGCAATATCCCTTCTTTGCGTAACTGCAGTTCGAGTAAGCTCTGCTAGGACTTAAGGAATCGAATAGGCAGCTAGACTTTGCCCGCTTTCCGGCTTAGCTGATTTAGTGGGGCTAAGCTTCTTCTAGGATGAAAGGTATTACAAAGATTGATATAGTGAGACAGGATGATAGAATGTCACTAGGATAAGCGTCCGGCAGAACCATGGGAAGATTAGAATGACCTAGGTACCTCATTAAAGATAGATAGCTATCTTACACAGTAAATTGATCTATCCATGGTTGGTTGAGGAAGAAGGGTAGAAGAGATTTGCTCTTAAGGAAGGAGGTAATAAGGGAAGTCAAGACGGGCTTAGCCGTTCTCAGAGCTTTGACTAGCTCTCATGGTAGACGAGAAGAAAGGAACTGACCTACTTCAACTGCACTGTGGGAAAGACAGACTATATTCCTGTAGCCAGGTCGGGTTAGGGCTTCATATCCTGCTTAGGCAAGGAAGAAGAGCGGCTGAAAGCCAATCGAAAACCGGCATAGAATGGAATTGATTGGTTCGCCACTTCTGAAGAAGCGAAGGAGAGGGGTGAAGTAGAGTAAGGAGTTTAGGCTTTCTTTTTTTCAGCTCAATCCCTTGCTTCTTGTTTTCGAGCCGGAGCTCGCTGGGTAGTGAAGTGGTCCGTGAAGGTTAAATCACACTTGTGTTAAGCAAGCCGAGTAGTCAGACTTAACATTGATTGAAGCAGCTGTTGGAGAGAAGACACCAGTCAGACCTGCAAGCACCGGGTAGTACGCAGCGGCAGTTTTCAATCATACAATGTGTACTCGTAGTCTGACTTTTAGCGGTAGTCAGCTGTCCTCGTTCTCCTCTTTTCATTGCCCTATTGTATTGATTGAGTAAGGCTCGGTGTTTGCAAAAATGTCGAGCCTTACTCAATCAATAGGGGTCAGGTACCAGTAGTGACAATGGCAAAGGGGGGGAGCTGGACACTGCTGAACCGGAAGAGATTGCTCAGGATGAGTGTCTGGGTAACAAAGCCGAGAAGGGTGTAGTCAAGGTGCGAGTTTAACGAGCGAGGAGAGTGATTTGGCCCATAGAAGCGAGGATCTGGAAGAGAGGGTTGATACTGGGTCAACTATGGCAGTGACTGAGGGGGACTTGTTCTGTGATAAACAAATGACTCCAAACAAGAACCTCAGGGCAGCCAATCCTAAGAAAAGAGGTGAACCTGAAGCAGTAAGAGTAAGCGTTCAGGTGCTGGTGCGAAGACCTTTTTTCCACCTTTTTCGAATCGAATGATTCAGCGCTCTCAGAAAGCGGATCAAAGGCTTCCTATTCAACGGATTCGGATTATTCGACTTTAGATGCTTCGGATGCTTCCTCGGCCTTAGGTCACAGTACGTACTTCTGTTTGGAGAGTCTGTTCCTTACTTAGCTAGGACTTTGAGTGACTAGAGTAGCCCCTCTGTATCCGAAGGCGCCTTTTTGTTTATGCACCTGAAACGGCTTCCGATTTTACTTATAGTAAAGTGGATCGACCCCGTTCAGTATAATTACGAAGAAAGCTAGGCTTCTTGAACCAGAGCTAATTAGATCTTCCCCTTTCGACAATGTGTTTGAATAGCAAGCAAAAGTACCACGACCGAACAATTCAATTCGGTTAACAAACGACTTCTAGAATGAACTACATCCATTCTTCCAACCGGCATACCTTTCTTCTCGTAACTACGATCTGTCTTCGGTGTTGATATGATCTTTCTATCAAGAAAAGATCGGGAATTGCCGCTAGGCTTTTCTTTTAGCTCTCACTCATTCCGATTCCGATCCCGGGCGATTCTTTTTATTTTTTTCTTTGTCACTAAGGAAGGAGTAGTTGTGGCTTTTGACCAAGAGAACGAGCTAGACAGAAAAGGTACCACCGAAAGAAGGTCGACCTCACCCCCTTTGGTAAACCGAAGCAGAGAAAGAGGAAGAAGCAAAGCTAGGCCATTCGATTAGGGATGTTCTCACCTATGCGTACTCTCTTGAATAAGGAATCTAAAAAAGAACCTTATTCTTTTTCGCATCTCCCAAGTTCGAATGCTTTTATGCTGTTAAAAGAAATCGAATACCATTCGATTCCGATTCGTGACCCAATTCAAAAAACGGAGTGACTGAAGACCTCCTCCCCCTTTCCCGCCTATCCCTCCCTTTGAAGTAGAGAGGACTCGTTCTGGCTTTAAAGAGCCTCTTTTTTAGCAGTCTCGCCCATAATAGAAGATAAGATTGACCATCTCTTCTTCCAAGCTTCTTTCTGCTTCTTCTCGGCGTAACGAAAGAACTAGATTCGGAAGAGGAGAGGCCTCCGGTTTCAAATCCCTACCCTACGCCTTTTCCGTTCCGTTCCGAACGAGGGCGCCCTAGCCTCACTCCCAAGGGTCAATCAAGCCTTTGAAACTAGTTCAAATAGTCGTCACAGTCTTCGTTCCTGCTTTCAACGAGAATTAGCTGCATCAGCTTGTAAAACTCTCTATCCTTCACCAGGAAAGGGAGAGCGGACAAAGTACCAGACTCTTTATTTTGTTTGATTGGGTAAGAAGAGCGTACGATAAGAGTAAGCAGACGATGTCGATAGAAGACGATTCGTGGGATCTTATCTTCCTCAAAGTCAAAGAAAGAGTCTGAATGAGCTAAAGAAATAAGGTATGCCCAGCCCATGGAATTCTATGTCGAATGAGTACGATTTCGAGCATAAATAAAGAGAGAAGAAAAAGTCAGTTTTTAGCAAGAATCTAGGTTTAGCAAGATAGCTGCCAGAAAGACTGAGCTTAGGTGCATAGCGCTTAAATAAGTGGTGGAAGAGTCGCTTTCCATCCCATCCCCGACAATGACTACTTACTTTAAATTTTTGGGATTTAACTTAAAAGACTGGACTTCAAGCAGCAATGAGAGCAAAGGCAAGGAATTGATGCGCCAATAATCGAAGAATGGGGCAAGGCAAATTTCCAGACAATGGCAAGTGCTTGAGAAGGAGCTGTGAAAGAAGGGGCTGCTAGAGAATAGGGAGCTCTTGAAGAAGAAGGGATTGCGGGGTGAACGGCATTCTGTTGTACTACTAACACTAGCTGTACTCGAGTAGTTTAGTAGCGCCTTTTGAATCAAATAGGCGAACCCTTTCCGAAAGGCGAACAGCCCGCATTGCAAGCAAATAGATAGCCCCCGCCCCTTTGAGTCGTTGCGAGCCGGAAAGCGTACCGGCAGTTTGAGTCGCGAAAGGGCCGCTTGCTTAATCTTTATTTTATTATATTTATACAAACAAATAAGAAAATCATTTTTTTATCCAATTGTTAATTCCTGGGAAGAGGAAGAAGCAGATAGAGCAAAGGCCTCCTCTTTCCGTCCACTCTTCCCAATGAAGAAGTGAGCTAATTGCATGTAGAGATCCGTAGGGGCTTATAGTTTAATTGGTTGAAACGTACCGCTCATAACGGTAATATTGTAGGTTCGAGCCCTACTAAGCCTACCACCCCCTTCTCTTCACCCGATACAAGAAGGCAGTCGAAGTCCCCTCCACTCTTAATTTTATGGGAAGACATCGCGTTCCTAGTCGATTTCCCTCATTGCGCTGTCCGTCCCCCTTAATGCTACGAAGTGAAGCAGGCATAGAGACCAACCAGTTGGTCTCTATCCAAGAAAAGATCTTTCATCAACCCCGGCTCGGTATCGGTAGTCTCAGTCTTTCCCTGCCTGCCCTGGTATGAGTTGAGGGGAGTCTTGTCTTATTCTACTCTAGGCTCACTCCACCCCCTGTCTTGTCTTATTTCAGGAGGGACTCGATTTTTAAGAAATCCCTGACTCTGTCTTTGGGCTAAAGCCTATAGTTAGTTCTCTCCTCACTAACGGAAGTATCTTAGTTAGTAGCATCAGCTCTTCCGATTCCTCTTCCGAATCCGATTCCTCTTCCGATTCCTCTTCCGGGGGGAAAGCCTAAGTCAGGAGTATTCGCGGGCTATCCACAAGCATTAGTTCTCCCCCTGACCTGCCTCCCAACCTCAAGATCATCAGCGGACGACGCCTTCTTCCGAAAGTCCTCCCTCTTTGCTTTGCCCCAGCGAAAGAGACTAAAAAAGATCCGTATCCGATTCCTCGGGTCTTGCTGCGTCAGCTACCGTAGATAGGAGGCTTTAGCCTATAAAGCAGCTTAGTAGAACGATGACGGGGAGTTTGGCATGATAGTTAGAGAAGGAAGTGGCGAGAAAACAAAGATGCATTGGTCTAGTTATGAATCAAAGTATATTTATTATATTAAATTTTTCTTGTTATCGTTTGTGCCCCACCCTATACTAATATGGGGGTCACTGCACTCAATCTAAAGAGTAGAGGTTCCCTCCGGGGCCTTCGGGGGAGTGGAACCTCTATCATACCTTAAGTCTGACTGTAAACTACTTTTGAGAGAAAGACAGGAAGGAAATTGCGTATGATGACCGGTGAACCTTCACGTTTAGGGATCCCTCTCATTGATGAGGGGATTCGGGATTGCCTTGAAAAAAAGCTCTCCTTTGAGGGGAAAATTGGCCTACTTGCCTCGGTCAGGACTTAAGCCATGCCTTTATTAAACAACGCCATCCCATCTCAGAACGAAAGTCTCATCCATTGGGTCTTAAAGGGGCGAAGCGTATTTACTCGCAAGGAAGATTGATAGCCCCATCGATAGCTATCTGTATAAGTATGCCGCGGTTGTCGATTTCTTTGACTCTGTCTCTTCCTAAACTGGAACGAGAAGATGCAAAGAAGAAGGAACCCAAGGGGAAGAGTCATTCATGCTCTCTAGCCAGGGTATGGAGCGAATAGTAAGAGGTCTTAGCTGCTTATCCGGTTTTAGCGGAAGAGGAGCCATCTGCTCGTTCCCTATCGAGTGGATCAAATCCCAAGCCTTAAGAGCCCATTAACCCATGTTCTGTTCCGCTAGCCAGCTACGCTAAAAAGCTTGCCATCGACCCCTGTTGATAACCTCTCCTTGTAACTTTCCTATGTATGGTCTCTCCACTAACTAAGCTTTGATCTACGCGCACTAGCTTCCTCGGCGACTAATGCCCTTCTGCTGGTCTTTCGTCCATTGCCTATGGTCTTTGGTAAGTAGTCTATAGTTCACTTTCGTCTATGGCCTGCCCCGCTCTCTTTTCAACTGAGTTATTAGTACTTCGGAGTGGTGCATACTCTCCTGCTTGGCTATTGAATGAATCTTATGCTTGTCAGGTCCACTCCAGTTGACCTCTCTTGTTCTCCCCCCCCCTTACACAACCGGGTGGAGGACTCATGTAAACTTCTTCCTGTAGGTCCCCGTTCAGGAAGGCATTTTTCACATCTAATTGGAACAGAGGCCAATCTCGATTCGCAGCAATAGAGAGCAGGAGACGAACAGAATCTTGGCTACCGGGGCAAAGGCTTCCTCGTAATCTATCCCATATGTTTGAGTAAAGCCTTTACTAGCCTGACCTTTTCCTCCTTTCTCCCACAAAGCTTCCCTTCACAACCAGTCCCATATCCAATTAGTAGAGATCGAGATGGGGAGACTAAAAATGAGACAAATGCGCATTTCCTCTCTGAATCGAGAGGTATCAGATCGAAGTAAAAAAAGTAATGTATTATATCCGGGAGAACAAAGTAGATTAATGAGCAAATTCTGGCATGAGAGGACCAATGAGACAGAAGACTGTTGGATGCATTCCTTCGCTAGCAGGGCTTCGGCCCATCTCAATGGAAGAGTCTTCGGTCAGTAATCTCGTACTCTCGACCGGCTCGAACCACTACGTTATCCATGTTCCGGCTCATTCGTATGCTCATCCTATTCTCGCCCAACACCAGAACCTGTAATAAACCATCATTTCAAACCATCCTGTTAAATAAAGGGAATCTTTGGATATCAGTTCGAAGGTATCATTAGCCGAAGAAAGTGAAGTAGCTCCTACCTACAGGAGCATCTTCCTTCCCTTTTTCGGGGGATCGGGAAGAGGAAATCTGGTGTGAGGTCTGAGGTCAACGGTAATATGTCACCCTGCTTGAATGAGAGTACTCTATTTCCATTAGGAGCTTCCCCCAGCTGAGCTAGGCAACTTCCCTAATGAAAGGAATATAGCATAAATTAAATTAGGGAGGCCGTAGATGAAAGCCTCTTCAGTAAACTCTGTCCGCTTCCGCTTCTGAATCTGGATGGCGGCTTTGGTTGGAGAAGAGAGTCTTTCAGTTACGGTTTAGGGCTAGTGAGTTACTAGACGTTCGTGAAGGCAGCCTACCAATAATAGATATCGCTCGTAGACATAAAACCGTTTTCCTCTTTTATAGGCGACTTAGAAAAAAGAAAGAACTTCTTGTTTTTGTTTTGAAAAGCGCTGCGTACAGTTCTGGGGGTTGTAGAACAACTACTTGTTCGCCGTTCTTTTTCCGTTAGCCAGTATCGAGACTCTAATACTCCTTGCGCTTAGCCCACCGCAGGTGCTTTGATAGAGAGTAACTTTCGGGTTGTAGGGCGCAAGGGGATCTTGAATCAATTCCCTCTTTGCCAGTAGCTAGTTTAGATATGGCAAGCGGTTCGAGTCAAGTTTTTCAGTTAAAGAACCAATTGTTGGCAAGAGTCAGAAATATGAAGTAAACGACTTGGTCTCTTCTGGAGAGTTAGAAAAAAGAAAGTATCCTTCTGTGAACGCTGGGGAAGGGAAGGAAAGGCTCTCGCACTAGTTGTTCTGTAAGAAGGGCTTTCATTAGCGTGAGAAGGCGGGTTTTCTGGATGTTGGCAAATGGGCATGAGAAGGAGCATCGTTCCATGCTGGAGATCCTTTACTAAACCCCTACCCTAACCATTATCAGAGCCTACCATGAACCACGCTTTGTTTGTTTTTCTTTTTTGGGTTGTGCGAGCTCCGGCTACCGCTGGGGAGAGGGAAAGTTACGGAGCTACGCACGAAGAGCCCAAACGGATAGAGACCAATAAGGACACCTAAAGATGAAGCAGGACGCCACACCAGATAAGAGAAAGATCAAAGCCCGAAGCCAGCAAAAGGAGTCCCAAGATCCGCCGAAGGAGACAGACCTAAGGAACGAAAAAGAAAAAGGAGCGAAAACGAAAAGAAGGAAAAGAGGTAGATTTCCCTAGACCCTCTAATAGGAGCCCGCCCCTTCTTCCGAATCAAGGGGAAAGGGGGACGACAAGAGGCTGGGGCCAAACTCCCCCGACACCGATGAACTAACGGCTATAGATGGATACCGGTATCGCCAGCAAGCTTCATTCTCGAGGAGCGGGGCCAATTAAGTAAAGGCCCTCGAGATTGGAATCAAGCATGTTGGTGATGAATTGAGGGAACTGAACTATATGTGTGTTAAGCAAAGCAGTTCTGGTCCTCCATTCGTTGGGCTCTTCGTGACCCTATCAGTCGGCTTGCCACTAATACAATACCCAACAACAACAAAAGAAAGAAAGAAAGTACACCTTCACGCCCTTCTACCGCTTTTTCTGAACGCAATTACTAGCTTACTGTCCACTTTCCTTCCCCACTTCACCGCCCTGGTCCTCGATGTATCGATGCCTTTCTTTACTTGATGAGCGGATAGGCACTTCTTATATATTTATATTTGTGTCGAGGTACTTTGGATTCGGCTTGTTACCGCATCACTCGCGCCGCCAAGCTTGCCTCTCGGGTAGGGGCTTTTTTTCGGGTTGCTAAGCATTACATCCACGGGAAAACCTCCGAGAGAGTCCGTTTGGCAGCAAAACATAGCGAGTGGAGTCAGTAGGATGAGGCGGCCGGAAGAGACTGAGCCCGGACGAAGCCAATCACATTGAGTTGTAGATTGACATAGTTAACCTTCAGTGCACTTCAAATAGAAAGTCAGAGTTGAAGCTGAGCGTTCACCTTAGCGGCACCTCTGACCTCAGATGCATGTGTTAAGCATATAACTAGCGAGCGAACCATACTTCGGATATCGCTCGGAGCAAGGCCAGTCGCTGGATTAAGACTAACAAACCGACCGACCATTCCTTATCAAATCAAACCCAGCAAGAGACGTCACTACGTACCTCGGCCTCAGTGCGTCCTACTTGTCTCGTTCGTCTTTTAAGCCTGCTATGCATCCCTGCTCCTTCAACCGATTGACCCAGTCGTCCGAGGTAAGGAGTTACCTCTGGGATCGTTGGGAATGACCTCCTTTTCAAATGAGGCCATATCCATTCGACTAAACAACTCGTTGTTTTCGTCGAAACAATACCTAACTCTTGGGTACCACAGTACACCTAAGAATGAGGGTCTTTTACTTCCTTCTGTTACCTTTCGGTACCATGAATTAAGTTCAAAAGGCAAGGAACGTAGTAACTCGACTGTAAGGAGAGGACCGAAAAGTCCTCTTCGTACCTCTCCATTTGATTGACCTCACTGAAACCGGTTTAGCTAGTTTTATCAACACCCTGATGAGGTCCTTTATGTATGGACCCCAAAGGAGGGCACCCTCAGGTGTCAAACCAAAAGGAACTATCGGTTTACAAGACCGGTAGGCCAGGTTGGCTCTAGCATAAGGAGTCAACTCACAAAACATAACATAAAGAAAGCGTTTTGCGGGACTCACAGAGTAGAGATGCCTGAGAGGTATCCGTAATCGCTGCAGCGACTAGGACATTGGCTTAACAGGCCACCTTAGCCTTAGGGCAACCAAATCGAAAACCTTCCAGACAAGGCCGAACCGGACCAACTGAGAGTCGGTCGATTCAACCTGCCATTTCCGGTTCACGAATGGTGCGTCTAAGAGATCCTGGATGGTTACGCCTGGAGATACTGCAACCATGTAGTACCACTTGACGTAGTTAAGCCATTGTCGGACCCACGACCTTAAGGTTGTGTACTCCGCGAACTCACGACTACCATCGGTGACGATAACCTCGTCAGGATAGAGGCACAGGTCGTCCCCTTTGGAGCCATTTCCTAACCAAGGAGAAAACCAGGATTCCTGACTCTAACAAGTAAGCAAGTCAACTACCTTTAGGAATAGAATTTCCATTCTTCGAAATCCCCCTCCTCTTCTCTGAATCTGAAGGCAGTCGAGGGAAGCGGGTTATGGGGTGGGCTGCTAAGGCCCGGGGAGCAGAATCGGGTCAAAGATCGATAGGGAGAAAGAGGTAAATTACTCTACCTTTCCTCCCGATTGGCAATGATATCTCTTTCTTCTGCCATTGCGAGACAAGACAGCTTCCTTCGTTCGGGCGATCTAACCAACTTAGGGAAGGGATGCCCTCTCTGCTTCTCCACTCGAACCATAACCTGAACTAGAAATGGAACTGGAACGAGAACCTCCATCTAGACCTAGACCTGACACCCGCATACCGCATATGCCAGTGGTTGTGGTACAGGTAGTTGTGTCTTGAATCGACAGTGAGGGCTGTAGCTCGGGGAAGGTTTGCCTGTAATCGATGGCAGAACGACTGACTCCTCCCTTTCCGTTAGCCCAATCCGCTTTATGATCCCAGTTGGTACTAATCTTATATCGGGCGAATTCAATGTTCAACAAATAGTTGAGCGATGGAAGGACAAAGGAACTGAATAAGAACAAGCGAGACAAAGTGAGAAAAAAAAAGCCTTATCACGAGCTGGAGTCGAACCAGCACCTCTGGGATCCAAATAAAGGCCCAGCGAACTACCTTTCATTCTGATCGTGACTTGAAAAAAGAAAGAAGAGAAAGAAATGGAGGGTGGCGCCTACATAACAGGTCGCTTGCTTACCAAGCCAT